AATAGTATATTATTATTATTATTATTATTATTAAAAAGCTGAAGAAAATGTACAATAATTTTTTGATTTTTTGTGGGTTTTTTTATATATACAATAATTTTTTAATAGTCTGGAGACTAAGGTGCACCTTATCCAGGCTATAATCTTTGTAATTACTTGCTAATCATCAGAAAGCTGGACAATGACTAGGGATGATAAAAGGTGAATTGATACCTTTGCGCTGTGGTGCTGGAGAAGAGTATTGAATATACCATGGACTGCTAGGAAAACAAACAGGTTCATCCTAGAGAGGGTGAGACCAGGCTGCTCCTTGGAGGCAAAGATTCTGAAGCTTTGTGTGGCATACTTTGGACATGTTGCAAGGCAGAATCAGTCCTTGAAGAAAGACGAGAGAAGAAGACTCTGGATGAGATGGTTTGATTCAGTGATGGGTATTGCTGTAGGTGTGTCAGAGACAATAAGATTGGCACAAGATAGAGCAGGGTTTAGGGCTGTTGTACATAGGGGTGCTGTGAGTTGCCGGGGACTCAACAGCACATAACAACAACAGTGATAGGAAAGGAAGGAGAAGAGAGTAAAAATGAATAGGTAAGTTGGGTGAAAGGAAAGGCAATCTATAATAAGGAGCTTGTTCTGCATTATAATTAAGAGAACAAACAGGTTCATTCTGGAGAGGATGAATCAGACTGCTCCTTGGAGGCAAGGATTTTGAAGCTTTTTCCGACATGCTTTGGGCATATTGCCAGGAAGGATCAGTCCCTGGAGAGGGGCATCACGCTTGCAAGAGTGGAGGGACAACACAAGAGTGAAAGACCCTGGATGAGATGGATTGGCTCAGTGACTGGGGTAGTGATGGTAGGTGTGTCAGAGACAGTGAAGTTGGCTCAAGATAGAGCAGGATTCAGAGCAGTTGTACATAGGGTCACTCTGAGTTGCAAGTGACTCAACAGTACATAACAACAATAATCAGTTGTAATGTAAAATTTGCATGAAAAACCATTTTTAAAACTTCACTCAAATAGAAAAGGATTTTTTGCAAAAAACTTTTCCCAGTGTAATATGTCTTTGATTTCTTGATTGCTGTTTCAAATGGGCATTGGTTGTGGATTCAAGTAAAATGATATTGTTTATAACTTCATTTTTTTCCCTCCATTTATCATGATATGCTTTCTGGTTCAGCTGTCAAGATTTTTGTTTTCTCTATATTGAGGTGAAGATTGTCCTCTTTTATCTTCATTAGTACGTGATTTACGTCCTCTTTATTTTCAGAAAGTGAGATTGTGTCTATCATCTTACTATCACAAGTTAATAAAATTTCCCCCAATCCACATGCTGTTTTCTTCTTCATATAACCCAGTTTCTTTGAGTCATTTGTTCAGCAAATAGATTGAGTGAATGTGACGAAAGGATACAACCCTGACATACATCTTTCTTGGTTTTAAAGCACGCAGTAATCCTCATTCAGTTCAACAAACTGCCTCAGAGAGCTCTGGTGGCCTAGTGGCCAGAAGCTGCACTGCAATCCCAAAGACCCAAGGTTTGAGGCCACCAGCTGCTCCGTGGGAGAAGGATGGCCAATTTCCTCCCGTGCACTTAGCTAACTGCCTCTGAAAACCCTCTGGAGGATGAGCAATGGGTTGGTTCCGACTCTACGGTACACAACTAACTGCCTCATAGTCTATGTACAGGTTCCACTTGAGCACTACTAAGTATTCTGGAATTCCTGTTCTTCATGGTACTCATCATTTCTTATGACCCACATAGTCTAATGCCTTTACATAGTCAATGAAACACAGTATCTTTCTAATATTCTTTGCTTTCAGCCAAGATTGATCTGCCATCATGGTGGTATTCCTTTATTCTACATCCTCTTCTGATTCAGGCTTGAATTTGTGTCAGTTCCCTGTTGATATACTGCTGCAACCATTTTTTAATTGTCTCCAGAAAATGTTATGTGTGTGTGGTATTAATGATATTATAGATCTTTCTGCATTCCACTGGATAGCCTTTCTTTGAAAAAAAGTATGTGTATCTGTCTCTTCTAGTTGATTGACAGGGTAGCTGTCTTCCAAATTTCTTGGCATAACTGAGTGAGCACTTACTGCCATTGCATTCATTTGTTGAAGCCTCTCAATTGATATTCTGTCAGCTCAGGAACAGTATCTCCAGTTCAGCTTGGACTTTTTCTTTCAGCCCTGGTGGCTCTTGATCTATGTTGCCTCCTGAAATGCCTGAATGTTGCCCAGGCCTATTTGTTACAGTGATTCTCATTATTCTTTCTGTTTTCTCTTACTGCTTCTCATGTCATTCAGATTTTTACCCACAGTATCCTTTACTATTACAACTCAAAGCCTGACATTTTTCTTCAGTGCTTTTCAGCTTGAGAAATGTGAAATGTGTTCTTCCCTTTAGACTTTCTAACTATAGCTCTTTGTCTTCTGGAGCTGCCCTGGGAAATCTGCTTCTCAGCTGTTTGATGTCATAATTTCTTTCATTTTCTTTAGCTAATCTATGTTTAAGGCAAATTTAAGAGGTTTTTGATAGCCATTTTGGTCTTTTCTTTCATGTCTTTAGTGATCTTTCCCTTTTTGATGTATAATACCCTTGCTATTTCCCCATAACTTACCTGAGCTTTATTTATTGGCGTTCAGTGTATCTGATCTGTTCCTGAAATGGTCTCTTAAATCAGATGAGATACACTCGAGGTCATATTTTGGTTCTCATAAATCTGTTTTCATTTCTGTCAGTTTCTACTTGAACTTGCACATGAGCAGTTGACAGTCTGTTCTACAGTTAGCCCCTTGTCTTCTTACTGATGATTATGAGGCATCATTTTGAATTTTATTTTCCCCACAAATGTAGTTGGTTTGATTCCTGTATATTCTATCCAAAGATGTTCACATGTGTAGTCTTTCCATCTATGATACATCTGTCTTCATTGCAACAGTCAATCCATCTCATCTGGATTCTTCTTCTACCCTTCCAAGCATGATGTCTTTCTCCAAATGAGACAGAGCGTCAAAATCCTTGCCTTCAAGGAGAAATCTGATTTCACCCTCTCCGGTACAGACCTTTTTTGTTTTCTTAGAAGCCCATGGTATGTTCCATACTCTTCTCCAGGACCACAACTCAAAGGCATTGATTCTTCTTCTGTCATCCTTGTTCATTGGCCAGCTCTCAGATGCATAGCAAGCAATTGAGAAGACCATGGTCTGGGGAGGTGCGCTTTAGTCTCTATACTTAGGTTGTTGAAAAAGATATTTCCAGTGAATAGGTCATTGCTCTTACAAAATTTGTTCATATGACCTCCAACATCTTTTCTCTTTCCAAGATATATTTTCTAATTATTGTTGATTGTTCCTAGTTTTTGCATTCCAATCATCAATAAATATCAAAGCATCTTGTTTGCATATTTGATCAGTTTCAGACTGTAGAGTTTGGTAACAAGGTTCACCTTTGTCAGTAGTGGTTAGTTTGTAAATTTGAGTAATAGTTATAAGCTTCCTTGTTGGGTGTATGGTTGTTATCTTCTCACTGACAGTATTTGTCTAAAGAGGAGGAGATGGGCCAGGGAGGCACAGGGCCAGGAGTGTCTCTCTGAAAGGGCCAGAGGGAGTGAGAATAGCATAGAGCCCATAGTCCAGCCCTATGTTGCCTCTAGAGCCACACCAATAGCAAGAGGTTCTTGTATTCATTGCGGACTCACAGACACACAGCTGTGGTACTAACAATGGGCTATACTAGGGAAGGAGGTTGGAGAGTGGAGGAGGTAAAGAATAAGTTTTAGCCAAACAGTCCCACCGCACAATTCCTCAATTAGTCCAGGCTCCAGTTTTGGCTCAGCAGTCAAATCCAAATCATCCAACAAGGTTTGCCTCAGAGCAGTTATAAGTTAGCTTCTCCTTCAAACATCCAGAAAGAACAGCCAAACCTTTAACTGTGGCCAGCACAAATCCAAGAAGCCTGAGGACACTGTTTCTCCAAAGTAATGCCACAGTCTCTCACCACAAGGGTCTTGCTCTCACTAGGGTCTTTCCACCACAAACCTTACTCACTTCAAGTCTTGCTTGCCTCAAGTCTTGCTTGCCAAGGTGGGAAGCACTCTTTCTTACTCTAGCCCCACTCCTGTTGTTGATTTGGAAGACCATGTGTCTTCTGCAGTTAAGGTAGTCAGAGACCTGAGGCTAAAGGCTTAAAAAAAAAAAACGGAAAAAAAGAGCCAACTTTTAAGCTAACACCACAATATTATACTTCATTCAGGATAGATCTTGAAATGCTCTCTTTGATGATGAATAGAATTCTGTGCCACTTTGATTTGTCATTCCTAGTTAACCCATATGATTGATTTAGAATGGCCAATACAAGTTTGTTTTAACTCATTAATGCCCAGGGTGTCAATCTTCCTATTACATTTTTTTACAACTTCCAATTTTCCTTGATTCATACTTTTTATATACCACATTCTTATAGAAGTTTCTAGAACAAATAACATTTTCCACATTTTGAATCATGCAACATAAGCAAATGCAAGTCTCAGAAGCTTTACTCCATCAACATCACAATAGTGGATCCTGCTTTGAGGAGGCAACTTTTCCCTGGTCGTATTTCATATGACTTCTGATCTGATGGTCTCTTCTTGGTGCACTGTGTTAGACAGTGTTACACTACTATCCATAAGGTATTCATTGTCCAGTTTTATCACAAATTACTAGGTCCTTCTTCCTAGTCTATCTTAGTCTATGAGCTCCACTGAAACAATTGAGAGATCATCAATAAAACAGTTTTTTATAAATATTGCAAGCAATTATTGTTAGAAAAGTTGCCAGGAAATGCTACTGATAACTCTGGGAACCACACCTTTGTGAACTTATGGCATATGTATTAGCTTTATGACCATGGGAACAGTTCAGCTCTGAATATTATTTTACCAGTAAGTTTGAAAAAATTGTGACAATAATGTAAAAAGTTTATTTTAAAATGTTTAAATATTTCTCTTCTAGGAAGAGCAGATATTCTGGGGATGGCATAATGATGTCCATGTATTTGACACAAAAACACAGACTTGGTTTCAACCAGAAATTAAAGTGAGTATTGTAAAGTTACTTTTATTTTCATTGGTATTTCAAGAATCTTTTATTTTTATTGTTGTTGTTGTGTACCATCAAATCCAACTGACACAGGAGGAGATTGTCCCTCTTTCTCCAGAGGGACATCTGGTAGATTTGAACCACATGTCTTCAGGATTGCAGCCCAGCTTCTTGCCACTAGGCCACCAGAACTCTGTCAAGAATCCATTTTTGTTAACATTATTTGTATTTTAAGTAATTGAATCTATAATCATATACAGCATAGCTATATTGAGTACTGTTATCAGTGTTCTTTTTAAGAAATAAAATACCTTTTCCAGGTGAGCTAGAAATTTCTAGGAACGGTCTTTTTAAGAGGTATTGTCATCATTCTTTATGCACAATTGTAGTGCATACTTAATGAAGGGTTTTATAAAGTAATTTTATGACAAAGGAGATTATATTAAAAATCTCATGCTGCTTAAACTCTTGAATTCAGAATTATATTCAGTTATAGTATGTCGGAAATAAATTGTTGGACATTTTCATTTATTGGTGCCCAAATGCTAACCCATATTAGTTTCAGCAACAACAAATTATCCAATTATTATTTATTATTGCTTAAAGTAATTCAGAAAGCATACTGGAGTTGCTCACTTGGTGAAAGAGCTCGAGAGAACAGGGCCTCAGGAACTCAAGCAAATTACTCAATGCCATGAAAATATTTACTGTCTTCTCTTTGTCATCTTCTCCGTGCTTTTCTTTGTGTGTTGCCTTTGTTCTGTCCTCCTGAATATTGGTTGGCTCATTTAGCAGAGAATATAGCCCTGACTACACAAGCACTTCTTTATTTTGGTATTCCATTCTCTCAATGTCTGTTTATTTGTCCTAGAAAAAGACACTGGCTCTACTTGGGCATTTACTCACCATTTCTTTCATCAGTCCTGTTGATAAGAGGATAAATTGACAAGGCCTGATTCACATGTTTATCCTTAGGAAGACAGAGTACTGTGATTAGGAAACTCTGCAGAATGGAATATTGAGCCAAAAGTATTCACTAATTTGTATAAAGGAGATGTGATGGATAAGAGGTAAGGAATTGCACTGCCAATGCAAAGTTATGTGGTTCAAATCCATTCGCTGCTTCTTGGGAGAAAGATGGTACATTTCCTCCTGTGCTATCTACTGTCTCTGAAAATCCTCTGAAGGGTCAACCGGGGGTTGAATCTGACTTAATGATACTTAAAACAACAGTATGTATACGATACATACGTGATTAAATTACATATAATCAACTTCTTTTGATGGAAGTAATCAGAGGCCCTGAGTAAAATATTACATATTATAAGTTGGTCCTTAAGCATCCTTCTGGTGACCTACTGGTAGGAGGCTGCTCTGCCAACCTAAGGGTATGCAGTTCAAACCCACCAGATGCTCTGTAGGGGAAATATGGGGGCAGTCTCCTCCTGTATAGTTTCCAACCTCCGAAAACCCGCTGGAGGGTCAGCTATGATTCCAACTCAACGTCATACAAAAACTTCTTCCAAGCAGAGAATTTCAGATTTTTGTTGCCATTCTGTTTTGTTTACCCTGTTTGTAATTTTAGAACTGATTAAATAACAGTTGTTTATACATGTTGATGCAAATATCACTTGAAATTTAAATCAAGAGTTCCTGTGGTGGAGTTTTATCCACTAAGGTTTTGGTGGAACAGACTTACTTTTTCAGAATCTCTTAAGATTATGACACTGTATACTTACCATTTATGTTAGCCATGTGTGAGAGAAAGAGAATATTTAAATTTTTTTTTAAATCCCAGCTGACATTTACATGAAATCTTATTTTGCCAAATAATTTCTGTCATTTAAGAAAAATATTTTGTCCCTCAAATGAATAAGCTGAAATATTCCTGTGGTATATTTCATGCACAGTTTGAGGGGAGAGCATCTTTGTGTTGTCAAATGGATCCGGTCAATTCTTGCCTTTAGTATTAACTAAGTGCATGGAGACCATGTCCTTTACAGATTTAATCAGTGTGGAAGAAGAGGAAAGGGGGGAAAAGTGGGGAGAAGAGAAAGGGTTGTGGGAAGGGAGGGCAGCCCAGGCTGTTGAAATTTTAGAAACTGGCAAATAACCTTTTGTGTAAAATCTTTTAAGTTCAAAATGCAGAGATGGCTCTTTTTTTTAATTTTTTTATTCTTTTTCTTTTCTTTTCTTTTCTTTTTTTTTTAGAGACGGCTCTTTTAACTATGCTTTTCAATTCCACAGCTGCTGCCATTTAAATGCTAATAAAGGATTTCTACAGTAAAAAAAAAATATTTTAAGAAATAAAGGTTAGGGAGGATATACTTTATTCTTAAATTTGAGTATTTGTCCAAAATTAGTACTACTTATAATGGGAAAGTCTGCTGTCAGAGACCTTTCCAAAGTACTGAAGAGCAATGATGTCAGTCTGGAAACTAAGGTGTGCCTGATACAGGCCATGGTCTTTACAAGTACTTGCTATGCATCAGAGAGCTGGACAGTGACTAGGGATGATAATAGGAGAATTGATGCCTTTGATATGTGGTGCTGGAGAAGAATACTGAATATACCATGGACTGCTAGGAGAACAAACAAGTTTGTCCTAGAGAGAATGAAGCCAGACTGCTCCTTGGAGGCAAGGATTCTTCAGCTCCATCTGACGTACTTTGGACATGTTGCAAGGAAGGATCAGTCCTTGGAGAGGGACATCATGCTTGGGAGGGTGGAGAGACAGCACAGGAGAGAAAGACCCTCTATAAGATGGATTGATTCAGTCACTGAGGTAATGGGATAGGCACATTGGAGACAATAAGATTGGAAAGGGATAGAACAGGGTTAAGGGCTGTTGTACACAGAGTTGCTATGAGTCGCAGGCAACTCGATGGCACTTAACAACAACTTAATGGTCTTACGGAGTTCTGATGACTTGGTAGTAAGGAGCTATGCTTTTAACCCAAATATAAGATTGGAATTCACAAACTGCTCTGTCGGAGAAAGATGAGCAGACTCCTCCTATGTAGTTTACTGCCACTGAAAACCCGCTGGATGGTCAGCGATGCATCAGTTCTGACTCAACAATACATAATAGCAGCAATGATCTTGTACACTTGGGGTTTTAAATTAATAACTTAGTGTAATGATAATTTAGCAGTCAAATATTTCTCATAAGGGGCATAGGAATGTACCTTCATTACAGATGTTTCATAACTTTGTATTCTGTTCTGATTTCTGCTTGCAGGGTGTTCCACCCCAGCCACGGGCTGCACATACATGTGCCGTTCTTGGAAATAAGGGATATGTCTTTGGAGGACGTGTTTTGGTTGGTGTTTTTAATGAAAATCTTTTTATGTCTGGTTCTTTTTACAAAAAATAGAGCATCTTGTGGCGATTGGATATGGACTGAAAATATTAAAGAAAACCTTTTGTTGGAAAAAGAGTATCTTCTTATTTTGTGAAACAATTGAACACTTAAATGGGGATTAAATGGTAGTCAGTAATAATTTTTGTTTTCCTGTTCCCAAAACACATCATATACAAGTAATCACAGATTGTTGTGTTGTTGTTGTTGTTATAAATTATATTTTAAGGGAAGTCCTTTAAGGGAAGTGCATTATCAGAAAAATTTAATTTCTTTTTTTAAAAAATTTAATTTCTTATCATCAAAATCTACCCCTTTGACATGTCAACTTGATAGCTCTCTGTTAATTTTATTAGTAATTATAAGTTAGTTAGTACTTAACATTACCTAATATATAAGTTGCTCAGTAAAGCAGAGATAGTCTAATTTTAGTCTCAAATTATTTTAGTCTATGTGCTGCCAAAGCGAGCACATAGTCTCAAATTATTTTAAAGTTGAAATTTTACCCCATATAGTACAAAAATACTGACCAGTTGAACATGCTTTCATTTTAGCAAACTCGGATGAATGACTTACACTGTCTAAACTTAGATACCTGGACTTGGTCTGGAAGGTAAGTTTGAAATTGGAGTATTTTTATTAAAAAAATCTGAATATGTTTTATGCTGTAAGTATTTGTATGTATCTATGTGTTATGTCATAATCCAAATTGAGTTTTCTGAATTTAAACTGATCCTTTCAGTTCAAAGACTAGTTTTTTTTTTTTTACTGCAGCATCAGGTGCTTGAAGGTCTCTTCACTTTCTGCAAGCAAACTTGTGTCATGGCATAACACAGGTTGTTGATGAGTTTTCCTCCAATCCTAATGCCACATTCTTCATATAGCCCAGATTCTCCAAATACTTATTTAGCATACAGATTGAGTAAGTGTGGAGAAAGACACATCCCTTTTCTGATTTTAAGCCCCGAATACACACATTTCCTGATTTAAAACTTACGCAGTGTTCCCTTGTTCTGTGCAACTATTTATTCATCTATGCATAGGTTTCAAGAGCACAATTAAGTTTCCTGGAATTCCTATTTTTCTCCAATGTTATCTCTGATTTATTATGATCCACAGAGTTAACTGCTTTTGCATAGTCAATGAAATATAACTAAACATCTTGTAATATTCTTTTTCAGCCAAGACCCATCTGACATTAGTAATGATATTCCTTGTTCCACAGCCTCTTCTGAATCCAGCTTGAATTTATGAAAGTTCCCTGTTGATATTCTTAGTATTCCAGTTGGGTTTGAGTAATCTTCAGCAAAATTTTACCTGGGTGTGATATTAATAAAATTGTTTGATAATTTTCCACTATCTAGGAGCACCTTCTCTGGAATGGGAACAAATATGAATCTCTTCCTCTCAGTTAGACACATAATTGTTTTCCAATTTGGCATAGTTTAGCAAGCATGTCTTACTCAGTTTTGGTGAGCAAGGTGGTATCATCTGTATAACACAAGTTGTTGATGAGTCTTTCTCTAATCCTTTTGCCACATTCTTCTTTATAAAGTCTTTCTCTTGAGTGATCTATTCAGCACATAGTTGAACAGGTATGGAGAGTGGATAGATTGCTGATGCACTCCCTTCTTGATTTTGAACGTTGTAGTATTATTCCCTTGCTCTTTTTGGACAATAGCTTCTTGGTCTAGATTAAGATTTCATATGAGCACAATCAAGTGTTCTGGGATTCCCAATCTTCTCAATGTTAGCCACAATTTTTTGTGATCCACACAGTCAAATGCCTTGACATTGTTGATAAAACACAAGTAGATATCCTTCTGGTACTCTCTGCTTTCAGCTAAGAGTCATCTGACATCAGAAGTGATATTCCTAGTGTCATGGCCTGTTCTTCTAAACCCTGCTTGTACTTTTGGCATCTCTGTGTCAGTGTACTGTTGAAGTCATTTTTGGATAATCTTCAGCAAGACTTTTCTCGCATCTGATGTTAATGATCCTGTTTGATAATTTCCACATTTTGTTGGGTTACCTTTTTTTGTGAACAGAAATAAATACGGATCTCTTCTAGTCAGTTGGCCAAGGTTTCTGTATTCCAGATTATTTGACAAAACTTGCAATAATTTTCTGCTTTCTTCATGGATAATGTCCTTTGTGTTATCCTGTAACTCAGCTGGTTTAAATACTCTGTTTTTAGTATTTAGTGCATCAGATCTGTTTTTGACGTATTTAAATTCAGGTAGGAGAATGTAATGGTTGTATTTTGGTTCTCATGAACTTACTTTAATTTTCTTTAGTTTTAATTTGTACTTGTATTTGAGTTTATTTCATCTTGGCATTGCTTTAACTGCCAGTATTTAGCTTCTCCCTGGGCCAGTTGGCAGCATTATGATAGATGGTGAAGATATTGAGATTGTTAACAGCCTTATTTCGCTTGGGTCCACAGTCAGCATTTTTGGTACCAGCAGCCAGGAAATCAAGAGATGAATTATGTTGAGGAAGTTGGCTGGCAGGGACATCTCCAGAGTACTGAAGAGCAACGACATCAATCTGGAGACTAAGGTGCACCTGGTCCTGGCCATAGTCTTCACAGTTGCTTACTATGCATCTGAGAGCTGGACAGTGACTAGGGATAATAGAAAGAGAATTGATTCCTTTGAGCTGTGGTGCTGGAGAAGAGTGTTGACTATACCATGGACTGCCAGAAGAGCAAACGGGTTCATCCTGGAGAGGGTAAAACCAGGCTACTCCTTGGAGGCAAGGATTCTGAGGCTTTGTTTGACAAACTTTGGGCTTGTTGCAAGGAGGGACCAGTCCTTGGAGAGGGACATCATGTTTGGAAGGGTGAAGGGACAGAGAAAATGAGGGAGAGCATCGATGAGATGGATTGATTCAGTGACTGAAGTAAGGAGGGTAGGTGTGTCAGAGATAGTAAACTTGACACAGGATAGAGCAGGTTTCAGAGCTGTTGTACATGGGATTGCTATCAGTTGCAAGCAACTCGACAGCACATAGCAACAATAACTTGTCTCTTTCCACAGTGTGAAGTGTGTACACAACTTTGAAACACTTCATTGCTATTGAGTTGGAACCAAGTCATCATTGACCCTGTAGCAGGTTTTTAGAGGCTGTAAGTCACATGCAAGGAGATTGCTTATGTTTCTCATTTGGAGCAGCTAGTGGATTTAAACTGTGTACCTTTAAGTTGGCAACAAAGCTCTATACCCACGAGACCACCAGAGCTCACTTCAATGTATTTAGTCAACATTTATGTGTGTGTCTTTTTAAATATTTGCAAGAAATCAATTAATAATTGTTCAAAATTCTGTCATATTATCTCCAGCTTTCTTTCTGTCACCAAGGCCATATTTTCTAACTACCTACTTTCTCTTCTTTTTGTTTCTGAGTTTTCCATTTCATTCACCTATTATTATTAATGCCTTTTTATCACATATTCAATCCATTTCAGATTGCGAAAGTTGATAGAAATCCTCAATTTTTTCATCTTTGGCGTTAGTGGTTAGTGCATATTGTTGAGTAATTGTATTAATAAGTCTTCCTTGTATGTGTATGGATAGAACCCTATCATTCAAAGCATTATACTTCAGGATAGATCTTGAAATGTTCTTTTTGGATATGAATGTGACACCATTCCTCTTTAGTTTGTCATTCCAGGTATAGATGATCACATGATTGATTCTAAATGCCAAATTCCAGTCTTCCTCATCTCATTAAAACCTAGGATGGTGATGTTTTCTATGTCTTACATTTAATTTTTGACAACTTAAATTTTTCCTAGATTCATGCTTTGTACCATATGTCTGTTCCAAATATTAATGGATATTTCCAATAGTTTCTCATCATTTTGAGTCTTGCACATCACCAAATAAAGATTCTTCATTGTGTAAAAGTGTTATTCCATATTATTTAGATAGACTCTATTTTGAGGAGGTAGCTCTATCCCAGTAGCATTTGAATTCCTCCAACCTAAGCAGCTTATCCTCTGACAGTAAATCTAGAATTACATTTTGTTTCTTATTTATAGGGTTTTCAAAGACCTGTTATTTCAGAAATTGATGTCCAGTCTTTCTTCTGTAGTCTATGTTATTCTAGTAACTCTGTTGAGACCTGACTAATATGGGTGACCTTGTTGGTATTTGAAAAATCTGTGACACACCTTTCATCATCACAGCAGCACACAGGCCACCACAGTAAATCAAACTGACAGATGAGTGATTCTGTAAAGTTAAAGATAAGAAAAGAATTATGTTGGGTAAAACTGAGGAAGGAGTGATTAACCAGGTAAAAAGATGCTAGGGATGCCTTGTGAATTAACTGGAAATGTGACTTTCAAAATGTTTATTCTGTGGTCTTTGATCATGTGATATAGACATTAAATGGAAAGAGATTATTTAAATCATCTAAGAATTTACAAATTTTTTTTAAATGCTTATTTTGGTCGGATTGGTAAAATACTCTTTTAGAGTGCTAAGGAAAGTTTTTTGCCTTTAAGATCTGAGACAATCAAAGATGTTTCATTTGGACTAACAATACTGAGATTCAGATTTTTTTTCCTTTGCTACAGGATTCCTATTAATGGAGAAAATCCAAAACATCGTTCATGGCATACATTAACACCAATAGCTGATGATAAGCTTTTCTTATTTGGTGGACTAAGTGCAGAGAATATACCATTAAGTAAGTAATTTAAAGTTAAGTCTACGATTATATGTTTCCTTTTTCTTTAATTGTAATTGGTACCTAAAATGTGTTTCTATTCCTCCTGTCTGGTTTTCTGGTTTACCTTTATCTGTATGATAAAACTGCATTGAGATGTGGAAGATCTCTCTTCTTTTGTACCCTTGGGCCTCCATGCTCTCCTATTTTGTAGATATTGAGAAAAGGAATGGTAGTTGAATCTAGATAAAGTCAAGTCCTTTTCAAGTTCCATATTCGGTGAATATCTTTCTCCTGATTTTTGGTCCAGAAGCTTATTCTGTAGGCTGGAATGGAAATTAGAAGAGCAACCTTTCTGCAGAAGGTTTTAGAAATAAAAAGTGGGAAAGTCAGTTTCTGCTGCTTTTGCTCTTTCCTTCTGCAGAACTATAAGGAAAGTGCTCAGCTAGAATTTTTACTCTTATTTCTTCTGATTCTTACCCCTTCTGGCTGTAGGTTTGGTACTTGAGTTCACTTTCACAATAGCACTGCGGTATCAGGTAAATTAATGACCAAGAATTTCTAGTTCTTTTTTGACATGTTGAATGTGTTGTATTTTTTAACCCAGAAGTTTTATAAGGCTAGAGGAATTTCATTTAAGATCTCTATATATCAAAATTATTCTACCATTTTATATACCAGTTAGAAGCAACTTTATTTTTTAATAAAAATTTGTTGAGCAAAACTGTATCTGCAGTCTGCTGGAAACTAGAAGTACGTACATGCTCTAGAGAATTCTCTGATTGGACAAAGAGTAACTCTTAGTAGGAGAATGAATTAGTTATTCTTACAGATTATTACAGTTTTCCAATTTGTAGAGTATTTTAATTAAACAGTACGTGGTATCTTAACTAAACGTAAGGTCTGTACATTTCACTAGGAAGTTTGGGACGACAGTTCTGAACCCTGTCCTATTCTGTGCCATCCTCATCATCTCTGACACACTCGAGCCCATTGCTGCAGTCACTGTGTCAGTCCACCTGGTTGAGGATCTCTTCACCTTTCCAAGCATGATGTCCCTCTCTAAGGAATAGCCCCTCCTAGCAGCATGCCCTAAGTGTGAGAGACAAAGTTTTGCCATCTTTGCCTCCAAGTGGCACTCTGGCTTCACCTTCTCCAAGACATACTTGTTCTTTTGGCATTCCATAAGATATTCTTCAACACCACAGCTCAAAGGCATCAATTTGTCTTCTATAATCCTTAGTTAGGGACCTTTCCAAATTATTTGAGAAGTCAGGTTGAAGACTAGAGTGCATCAGATTCAGGCCATAGACTTTCCAATTACTGGCTATACATCCAAGAGCTGGACAATGAATAAGGATGACAGAAAAAGAATTTATGCCTTTGAGCTTCAGTGTTGGAGAAGGGCACTGAACATCCCATGGATGGCCAAGAGAATGAACAGATATGAGGCTTTGCCTCATATACTTTGAACATTTTGCTAGGAGGTGCTATTCCTTAGAGAAGGACATGACACTGGGAAGGGTGGATCAGTGAAGAAGAGGAAGACCCTCAACCAGGTGGATTGATACAGTGATTGCTGGAATGGGCTCTTGTGTGTCAGGAAATGTGAGGATGGCGCAAGATATAACAGGGTTCAGATCTTTCATTCATAGGGTTGAGTCATATTCGACTCAACAACACCTAATGACAGCAAAGCAATCCTTATTTATTCTCCAGTTCTCAGATGCATAGCAAGTGACTGAAAAAAAAAATGGCCTGAATTAGGTGCACCTTATTGCTCCTCAGAATTTGCAGAGGTCGCTCTCTGACTACAGACTTTCTCAGTGCAATACATCTCCTGATACAAAGTTTATTGATCGTGGGTCTAAGATGAAGTCATTAACAATTTCTATCTTTTTTCCCCTTCATCATGATGTTGCCTGTCAGTGGCGAGGATTTTTCTTTTCTTGATGTTGAGATGCAATCTGTTTGAAGACTGTGGAGTTTGACCTTCTGCAGCAAGTGTTTCAAATCCTCCTCAGCTTTCAACAAGCAAGATTCTGTCATCTGTATAACAAATGTTATTGATGAGTCTTCCTCTAATCCTGATGACACATTTCTTTTTCATAGAATCCAGCTTCTCAAATGATTTTCTCAGCTTCAGTGCAGCTTGAATATTTTCCTTCATTACCATTATTGGTTTTTGATCGTATGGTATTTCCTGAAATATTTCAATATTGATCATTCTTTTTGGTACCATGATTCTGTGTATTCCCTCTATCTTCTTTTGATGTTTCCTGGATCATTCAAGATTTTGTCCATAGAATCTCTCTCAGAAACTCAAGGCTTGAATTTTTTTTTTCAGTTATTTCAGCTTCATAAATGCTGAGCAAATTCTTTCCCTTTCTATTCTGCAATTCTAGATCTCTGCACATTCTGTTATAGTAGTTTGCTTTGTCTTCCAAACCTGCCTTTTGACATCTTCTTTTCAACTATTTTATTTCAGCATCTCTTCTCCTTGTTTTGGCTTCTTGACACTAGTACCATTTTCAAAATCTCTTCTGACATCCATTTTGGATTTTTATTTCTCCTCTGTCTTTTTAGTGACTTTTTGCTCTCTTCATGGATGATATCCTTGATAGCATCCCATAACTCATCTAGTCTTCAATTATTGGTGGTCAGTACTTCAAATCTGTTCTAAAGATGATTTTTTGTTTTGTTTGTTTTTTCACTTTTATTATTTTTGTATGCGTGTACCGTCAAATCAGATCTGACTGGTACAGGAGGAGATTGCCCCTCCTTCCCCGGCAGAGCATCTGGTGGTAAAGATGATTTTTTTAAATTTTTATTTTATTGTTTGTGTGTACCAACAAATCAGATCTGACTGGTACAAGAGGAGATTGTCCCTCCTTTCCCGGCAGAGCATCTGGTGGATTCGAACCATGCTCCTCTGGGATTGCAGTGCAGCTTCTTGCTCCCCCTCTAAAGATGATTTTAAAATTCAGTTTGGATAGACTCAAGATCATATTTTGGTTTTCATGTACTTGTTTTCGTTTTCTTCAGCTTCAAGTTGAACTTGCACATGAGTAAGTGATGGTATGTTCCACAGTCAGAACATGTAGTCAGTATGATTCATTTGCAGCCCTTCTGGTGCAGTCCAATAAGTCACTTTTTGTGTTTTCTTAAAGAAAAGATATTTGTGATGAATAAATCACTAAACATAAAATTCTATAATTCTATTTTTAGCTTCATTTCTGTCACCAAGTTCGTACTTACTAACGACTCTTCCTTCTTAATTGTTTCCAACTTTTGCATTCCATTTACCAATTATCATTATTGCATCTGATTACATGTTTGGTCAATTTCAAACTGCAAAATTTGATAAAAATCTTCAATTTCCACCTCTTTGCCAGTAGCTGTTGGTGAATATATTTTAATTATTTGAATAATAGTCATATTAACAGGTCTTGTATTTCAGGATAGAACTTGAAGTTGTCTTTTTAACTATGAACACAACACCATTCTTACTCTGTTTTTCATTCCTGGCATAGTATACTATGTGATTGTCTGATTCAAAGTGGCTAAAACCGATTCATCTCATCTCATTAATGCTTAGAAAGTTGATGTCATTTAATTTTTCACAGCTTCTAGTTTTCCATCATCCATACTTCATACATTCCATGTCCCAACTATTAATGTTTGCAGTTGTTTCTTCTCATTTTGATTCACTTCCAATTGGAATACCTCTAATACTATAACTGTCAATGTTCCTCCGTTGTTCACAGGGTTCTCAGAGCCCTGTTCTTTCAGAAATGGAGAGCCAGTTCTTCTTCAGAGCTCCATTAAAACCTGTCCAACATGGGTGATCCCTTTGGTGTTTGACACACTAATGGACAGCTTTTAGCAACACAGCAACTTAGAAGTTACCTCAGCACAGCAAACTTAGACAAGTGCTATACTAATTAGAACTATGATAAGCAAACAAGAATACAGATACTCAAGCTACAAAGTAATTAGCAATATGCAGATCAATCTCCCAATACAGCAAACTGACCTAAGTCTCACAGTTTAGGAAGGTCTGTCCGAGACCCAGGTACTAGCTTTTTTAAAAAGTGTGTGTGTGTGTGTGTGTGTGTGTGTGTGTGTGTGTACCATCAAATCAGATCTGACTGGTACAGGAGGAGATTGCCCCTCCTTCTTCAGCAGAGCATCTGGTGGATTTGAACCATATACCTCTGGGATTATAGTACAGCTTCTTGCCACTTGGCCACCAGAGCTCCCTAGGTACTAACTTTAAAGAAGGCTTTCTCTCTCTGGGGAATCTGGAGGAAGGTCCTTGTCTCCGAGCTTCTGCTCCAGGACTGTCCTTCTGTGGCCTGGAGTCTGCTCTTACACCAGATTAGGCACACCAAATATCATGGGGTAGGGATCATCTAAGGACAGTAGTGATATGTCAAGATGGGCCCCAGGGTGGGTGCTGGAGCCTTCCAGCTAAGGCACACAGGACTTTATCCTAATGTCCCAGGTAAGGGCGATAACTCAGCTGGATCCTGTATTGTGTTTTTAATTTCTATTTGTAGTTTTGATCACTGGCTTACAGGAAATTAAATTTTCTGCCTCTTAGCCTGGTAGCCTAGTAGGTGGAATTGTGCTGCCAATCCAAAGGAATATGGTTTGAATCTACCAGCTGCTCTGTGTGAGAAAGAAGGACAATCTCTTCTCATGCTATCACAACTTCTGAAAACCTACTGGTTGTTGTTGCTGTTCTGTACCATCAAGACAGAACTAACTCAAAACTCATCTTTCCATGGGTTTTCAGAGGCAGTTAATCACACAGGAGGAGATTACCCACCTTCCTCTTGCAGAGCAACTGGTGGTTGTGAACTGACTGGCTTTGGGTTAACAGTGAAGTTCTGGAGGGTTAGCTATAAGTCAGTTCTGACTCCAGGGCACACAACTACAATAGCTCTTAGTCTAGTCAGTTTACCCTCCTTATATCTACATGTTCTATTTAACATGTAGTTATATGCATATTAGATAACACAAAGAAATTGTTTTGTTTTGTTAACTATTATAGTGACATTATAGTTATATCAATAAATATTGCCCACATTCTTTAAGAGTGCTTTGGAATTCTTAGTGGAGGAAATGGTAGATGATTTGTTTTCAGATAAAACAAAAGGAGATAAATACTGTATGTGTGGCAAAATCTTGATAGTTGTTGAATCAGGAATACGTAGACATTCACTCTACTTATATATATATATTTAAACTTTTTAAGGTAAAATAGGCACATTCACATAAAAGATAGTTGTATGAATATAGTTTGGTAAACTTGGAAAAGAATTAAAATTTTGTCTCAAAGACCCAGTCTTAATTTCTGAACTGTCATTTCAGGTGATGGTTGGATTCATAATGTCATAACAAATTGTTGGAAACAACTTACACACTTACCTAAAACAAGACCCAGGTAGGTCTAGAATTTGGGAAATAGTAAAATAGTTAATAATTTTAAAGTATTATAGCACTGAATTTAGAGTATTTGTCATTAAAGCCCTAAACCAACAGAAAGGATATCTTTCCAGTAAATTTCATCTTCCTAAATAATTGTTCTTTTAATTACATTATTATTATTATTAGAAATTATTAATCTTGTTTCACTCATATTATCATAAACATATTCAGGCTAATGCATATTTTAAATAAATTTGCCTTATAATTTTTTTAAAAACTACAATAATCAGAAATATAAAGTTAGTATTTGTATCAAATAGACAAGAATGGGTGTTAACTTTTGTAGTAGTAATTTTTTTTCAAAGACATTTCAGGCAATATAAAAGAAAATATGCTTTTATGTTGATACAGTAGATAGTAGATGGCACATTATTAATTCTGATCTATAGTATTTATTTTTTTAAATGTTCTTTATTTTGGTATGCAGTTAGTTAAAAATAGAAAACAAGATGATATTAGAATATAACAATGATAGTATTATAATTCTTAATTATTTCTAAT